AGATGACTGTTAGAGATCCTTCCTGGGTCATGGCTGCCAAACATTCAGTATCTCCTCCCTCTGCATGCAGACACTGAACTTTCCTCATAGAGATTCATTGATTCAATTCATCTAAATGAGGAGATGCTGATTGGCCAGGGCTCTGCCCCAATCTGCCTCTTTGTCAGTCTCAGCCAATCCTATGGGGAAGCACTGTGATTGGATTAGACCATCACTTCTAATGATGTCAGCAGACTGCTTGTTTTTCTGAGTCTAACAGCATGCAGAGTTACAGCTTCAGGCTTGAATACAGTAAGATTTTGCTATATTTATGGAGGCATGAGGGGCCCGGGGGGGAGGGGGGGGGGCTAGATGGTGGTGTTAACACTGTAGGGTCAGGAATTAATGTTTGTGTTCCTGACCCTATAGTGATCCTTTAAGGCAATGCTGACTTTGGTCTCTATAACACTGTGGCATGTTCCCTTTCTTCAACACTCACTACATACAGCTTTTCTCTGTCCCAAACTATATACCAGGAGCGTCTGCCTGCTAGTAAGAAGGTAAGGAGACAAGTGGACCAGCGAGTGCTAGGGGACAGTCCTTAGAAAGTGTTGAGCGAGCGCATCATTAGATGTATTTATGCCAAGCTCAGGGTGCTGTCTGCATAGTATGCCCTTAGTTGGCCAGCTGCATGATTGGCAGGCAGCCTGACATGCATTCATGCCAGGCTAGCCTTCTAATTCTTTGGGCAGACATATCCTCTTTTTGGGCATGTTCGCCCCTTTTGGCAGGTTACGTGATTTGTGTCAGTGGCACACCTTTTTACCGTGCCCATTAACTTTCTGCTTGACTGGACACTGCTGTTAGGGGTTATGGATTTACTTGAAAGCTGAAAACATAAATTAGTGAGAGATTAGCCTAGGGTATGTGTTTTCTTATAGCTGCTGTTTTCTTTCTCTCCAGCACCATCTCCATCAGATACATGATGCTTGGGAGTGTTTTACTGTTTTTGGTCGATACGATTCTGTAATTAGGCCCGTCATAATTGTCAGCACCAGGTCCATTGGGCTCTTAATCTGGCCCTGACTACATGACAGCCAAGGTTCTCTCTGTAACGGCACATGGTGTTATATCATCTGCTTTGGTTTAACAGTCACATGATATTGGGGTAACATGGTGCTTTTTTTGAAAAATGAAACTAAGGGCTTTCCTTAACCTCTCAGCTAAGCATTGACAGAGACGTTCCTCATTAGTCAGTGCAGACAGGGGAATTTTAAACAGGGGATTTAACTGGAAGTTCAGTATATCTTTCTATTTCTGGATTTAAACATTTCCAGAGTGTTCTGATCGACAATTCACACAGTGACCCACATGTGATTGTGTATAATACATGGAACATTAACAGATTAATGGGCATCCTGTTTTTACATTCCTGTTTATGAGTCTTTCCAGAGCAGATTTGCAGGAAATACACTGCTCCAAATAAATCTGGCTGAGTGCATCACAGAGCTCCAGAGCAGTAAAAACCACAGTAATGTACGTTGTGTATGCGTGTATAACAGAACTCGGCAGCAATAAAACTCACAGTAACATACAGTGTGTCTGAGCATATCTCAGAGCAGTAAAACCCACAGTAATGTGCAGTGTGTATGAACGTATCACAGAGCTCCCCAGCAATGAAACTCACAGTAACATACAGTGTGTCTGAGCATATCTCAGAGCAGTAAAACTCACAGTAATGTGCAGTGTGTATGAACGTATCACAGAGCTCCCCAGCAATGAAACTCACAGTAACATACAGTGTGTCTGAGCATATCTCAGAGCAGTAAAACTCACAGTAATGTGCAGTGTGTATGAACGTATCACAGAGCTCCCCAGCAATAAAACTCACAGTAAAGTGTGTATGAACGTATCACAGAGCTCCCCAGCAATGAAACTCACAGTAACATACAGTGTGTCTGAGCATATCTCAGAGCAGTAAAACTCACAGTAATGTGCAGTGTGTATGAACGTATCACAGAGCTCCCCAGCAATGAAACTCACAGTAACATACAGTGTGTCTGAGCATATCTCAGAGCAGTAAAACTCACAGTAATGTGCAGTGTGTATGAACGTATCACAGAGCTCCCCAGCAATGAAACTCACAGTAACATACAGTGTGTCTGAGTATATCTCAGAGCAGTAAAACTCACAGTAATGTGCAGAGTGTATGAATGTATCACAGATCTCCCCAGCAATAAAACTCACAGTAATGTGCAGTGTGTATGAATGTATCACAGCGCTCCCCAGTAATGAAACTCACAGTAATGTGCAGTTTGTATGAGTGTATCACAGAGCTCCACAGCAATAAAACTCACAGTAATGTGCAGTGTGTATGAATGTATCACAGAGCTCCCCAGCAATGAAACTCACAGTAATGTGCAGTGTGTATGAACGTATCACAGCGCTCCCCAGTAATGAAACTCACAGTAATGTGCAGTGTGTATGAATGTATCACAGAGCTCCCCAGTAATGAAACTCACAGTAATGTGCAGTGTGTATGAATGTATCACAGAGCTCCCCGGTAATGAAACTCACAGTAATGTGCAGTGTGTATGAATGTATCACAGAGCTCCCCGGTAATGAAACTCACAGTAATGTGCAGTGTGTATGAATGTATCACAGAGGTCCACAGTAAAAATAACTGGTGAGTGTGTTTGTATTTATAAACCCATTTCACTCTGCTGCCATACTGAATATTCCTCATGTAAGCGTATTTGCCATCGCAGTTGATTCCCTGTGAGTCGTAATAGTGAAAACACAGACATTTTTATCAAATCAAATTACTTAGTTATTTGGACGCAGAAAACTCAAATGAAGTGTTTTGACTTTTTAATTTGCCTAAAGAACAACATTTCATTAATAAATGTAAATGTCTCAATTAAAGATGGAGCCAAGCGGGCAGTGGACAGGTCTACACTCCTTCACAAGAACAATTCTTTCACGCTGTGTCAAGCTTCAAAACCGCATGTTTTGTGCGAATCTCTGTGTGATGGAACGCTGTCGCCGAGTACCATGCCCACATGCGTGCCTGCTTATTGTTTTCAGGTCAGGGTTATTTATTGCTTGTCTGTGCCTCTCCCCCTTCCTTTTCCTGTCCTAGCATAGCGTTGTCCCAGGGACACTGCCATAACAGTTTAATCTAGCTGCTTTGTCTATCTTAAGTCTCCCATCAAGATCTTGGGATTGAAACCCCTGTTGTATTGTGTTGGAGACCCCATGTAGGGGTCTGTGCCTAAGAAACCATGTGTGACAAAATAAACTTCAGTTGACTTCCAGAACTGTGTCTAGTCCAGTTACTGGGGGGGGATTTGTCTTGGATATTTTACCGCTTCTTAAGCTAGAAGTATTATACAGAGGAGATATTCATGCTAGTCATTGGAGCTCCACCACACTCATTTGAAAAGGCATGCAGAAACCAAGCATATACCAAAATAATAATTAAAGGATTGGAAACAGCCTTTATCTCTTTAAGAAAACACTTGCATCATTTGTACCCGGTAATAGGAGAATCAATCAAAAAATTAAGACAGCTCGTGTTTCGTCACCTGCTGCATGTGTTTAATTTTATAGTATCATTTTTTTATTTCATTTTTTTTAACCCCTTGACGACGATGATGGTTCAGGACCGTCATCAGAAACATCCCCTTGAGGACCGATGATGGTCCTGAACCATCATAACGGTCTGGGGGTATTTACCTGATTGCCGTCGATCCCCCGGAAGCCATCAGCGCTCCTCCCGGTCCAGGGGGACTGCCTGTCTGCCTGGGCAGTCTCCCCGCGGCAGATCAGGACCCCGCGGCCACCTGATCGCTTGGTCACATGACCGCAATAGGTGTCTGTGTGTTTGCCTTCAGGAGGACTGTCTGTGCTGACAGAGTCTCACTGCAAGTGAAAAATCATAAAATAAAGTTTAAAAAAACAATCAGTATAAAAAAAATATAATATGTATATATATATATAATATATATATACAGGGAGTGCAGAATTATTAGGCAAATGAGTATTTTGACCACATCATCCTCTTTATGCATGTTGTCTTACTCCAAGCTGTATAGGCTCGAAAGCCTACTACCAATTAAGCATATTAGGTGATGTGCATCTCTGTAATGAGAAGGGGTGTGGTCTAATGACATCAACACACTATATCAGGTGTGCATAATTATTAGGCAACTTCCTTTCCTTTGGCAAAATGGGTCAAAGAAGGACTTGACAGGCTCAGAAAAGTCAAAAATAGTGAGATATCTTGCAGAGGGATGCAGCACTCTTAAAATTGCAAAGCTTCTGAAGCGTGATCATCGAACAATCCAGCGTTTCATTCAAAATAGTCAACAGGGTCGCAAGAAGCGTGTGGAAAAACCAAGGCGCAAAATAACTGCCCATGAACTGAGAAAAGTCAAGCGTGCAGCTGCCACGATGCCACTTGCCACCAGTTTGGCCATATTTCAGAGCTGCAACATCACTGGAGTGCCCAAAGCACAAGGTGTGCAATACTCAGAGACATGGCCAAGGTAAGAAAGGCTGAAAGACGACCACCACTGAACAAGACACACAAGCTGAAACGTCAAGACTGGGCCAAGAAATATCTCAATAGCTTATGAGTATATCCCAAACAATATACAATCAATAAATAATATGAAAAGCAATAGTACTTAGCTTATAAAGATGTATGACAGCCTCCCTAGGTCGTTACCCAAACAAGCGACCTATATCATATATAGTATAAACCAAAACAGAGAAGATTCGGGATATGGCTGTGTAAATCTACAGAGAAAGCATAAAACAAAACATAGTGTGATATTGTTATAAAACACAATATTTCATGCGCAGTAATCTTGTGCACTCACAGGATGTAGGCAGTAAAAGCGCTCTTAAGGTGCCTTCCCCAATGAAATGGGGGGCTAGCTGGTGTTCCTTATCACCTCTGGATCCTTGTTCCACCAAAAGACATCCACAGGTCAGGGTTCAGTAATAAAAAATGTATTTAGATAAAAAGTGTAGTCACCAATTCAGCATAGGATACAAATAACAAAAGGTTGTCCTGGACAACCTTTTGTTATTTGTATCCTATGCTGAATTGGTGACTACACTTTTTATCTAAATACATTTTTTATTACTGAACCCTGACCTGTGGATGTCAAATATAAGGCTTGATTTTACTTCTTTTTTTTTTTTTATTGAAATTTGTCAGATTGGTTAGGTTGCTCATGGTAGCCCAGGAATGAGAATTACCCCCATGATGGCATACCATTTGCAAAAGAAGACAACCCAAGGTATTGCAAATGGGGTATGTCCAGTCTTTTTTAGTAGCCACTTAGTCACAAACACTGGCCAAAGTTAGCGTTTCTTGCACTTTTAAAACACAAACAAATATAAATGCTAACTTTGGCCAGTGTTTGTGACTGAGTGGCTACTAAAAAAGACTGGACATACCCCATATTGAATACCATGGGTTGCCTACTTTAAAAAAAAAATATGTACATGCAGGGTGTGATTCAGAAATTTATGACAGATAATAGTGTTACAATGTCACTATTGATTCATTAAAAAAATATTTATATTGAAACAGCAATTTCCTACTTTTACTTATAGCCTAAACACTGGGTGTTTTTAAACTCTGGACAAAATTTTGAATCTATTTAGCAGTGTTTTTCATTAGCTTTTGTAGATAAGAGATTTTTCAAGTAAAAGTCCAAAAACGTGTTTTTTAAAAAAAAAAAAATTTCACCATTTTTTTTTTTAAAGTAAATTATATGACATGATACAAATAATGGTATGTAAAGAAAGCCCTTCTTGTCCTGAAAAAACCCAATATATAATTTGTGTGGGAACCATAAATGAGAGAGAGGAAAATTACAGCTAAACACAAACACCACAAAAGTGTTAAAACTGCTCTGGTCCTTAACGTACAACATGGCCAAAACAGGCCGGTCCTGAAGGGGTTAATACTACTTGTTATTTTTTTCTTGTACAAAAAATAAATAAATGAAAGCACAGTTTATCAGAGCTTATCAATTCAGCAAATACATCTTTTTAGTTCAAATAATCTTAATTGACTTTTGTTTTTATGTTTTTTCCATTAAATAATAATTTATGGGATAATTCATGAGATAATTGTCCATTATGTCCGTTGTGAAATGCTTAATCTGCTCCATTTATAACACTGACCTTCCCATTAACAGTAAATGTTACGTGGCTTTCATATTCCGACTAATCACTTTGCTTCTAGGGAAATATTTAACATCCATATCTCACGCATCCATAAATAATCTGTGTGAAAGCCTTGTTTTTATCAATAGCAGGATTTATGACCTTCTGAGAACAATGGTCTCTTTTAGAAAATGTATAACTATCCGTGCAGGAAGTTCATATAACAGCTATATAGTTTGCACGCTTATCAGGATATAGATATCAAATTCTGGCGCGCATCATTTTAAACAGAGCTCCTTTAACATCAGTTTAAAGTGATATTCCCGGATAACTATTATTTAAATTAATTAGACATTTCATTATTATTTTATTATTATTATTATAAAATGATACGGTAATTTTAGCTGTGTTTATCTCCTGAGGTTGTGGCATATATCAGTGTGGGGGCAGCCATCTAAGAACTGCATTAGAATCAACACAGTTACTCATTAAAAAATAAACTGCTAAAGGCATGCCAACTGGCAGCCAATCAGAACCGGGAATTTCTCACCCCTAACACTGGGAAATATAAAATCAGGACAGGAGGGACGCAGGAATAGGCTGTGAGTGAGGTCATACCATCAATGTAACGGCCGTGTCTGTGTTTAATGATGTATTCCTATTGCACGGTTTGTGGGCTTCACTCTGAGGTTGCCAGAAATATAATTAAAAAAAAAAAATTTAAAAAAGAGATTTTTGAAAACTATTTAATTTCTTCAGTCAGAAAGTAATAAAATTTAAAATAGGTTACCCTCAGGAAAACCTTTTTCCCATAGTGTATTTTTCAGGGTGTGTTGCTGACACAGACAGTGGCACAGGTTATAGTGCGGGCATAGTGACGTTGGGTGTCACATGCGCAGTGCATGCATGCAGATAGAATTCTTACATATAGCAAGAGTCACTTGAAATACACTGACACCGGGTTCTTAACTAAAATGCAAATAGCTCATTTTAGATTCAATTTAAAGTGAATTTCAAATTTTAGACCAAGTAAGTCAAACTGAAAAACTTAATTTTTACAGTTCAAATATTTAGTAATTTAAAATTACTTTGAATTCCCTCTGAATTCCCAAACATTTACACTTTGAATAACCGTGATTGTGCATGACATGCGCATAGTTGTCTTGGCATATTCCATAAATTATCTGAACTTACCCCTTTTCCAGAAAGACACGGACACTTAATAAAAGTGGGTAAATGTCACGGCTTTAATAATTTATAAATAGGAGAAGGGTTTCGCCACCTAATCAGAAGAAAGGGCACAAAACCCTGTTTGAACGAGCGCTCCTTCTCTGATTGGTCGCCTGTGGCCCGCAGCGACCAATCATCGCTCACTTGTTCCGACCAGCCAGGAAAACGGCGCGAATCTAGTTTTAATGGACGCTCCCTCTCCCATTGGTCATAGTCCCAGAGATTTCAGGCTGGCGAGCATCCTGTTGGATATGCCCACGCAGGTATCCATCTTAGAGAGCGCTCTCCTGGGCAGCCACGAGCCTATCCTCGTAGCTCCCAGGTAGGGGAAATAGTGACTATAGCTCCGTTGGGAGCGGGTAGGATGGTCCTCGACACGGGGACCGAAGACATGGTGCGCAGGCCAGTTCGGGATGCGAATGCTGCCCATGGTGGACATTCCGTGATACTAACCAGCGGCCACCCAGGGGAAGCACACGCCGCTTGTTCCTTTGCGGTCTGCTGTTTTCACACCTCGTTAGCGAGGTGTGAACATTCTAAATAAACATTCTAAATGGAGTATCGGGGTGATCCCGAGCGCCCACACGTGGTTGAAAATTAGAATGCATTGTAAAGTATAAAAATACAAGGGGAAACACACATTCAACAAGGGAAAATCATAAGAATACTCATTGGGAACACAAAATGCAGAACCAAAACATCTGAATATTCAGTGGGCATGGCACTTAGTGGCGGTGTCCCGCCACAGTCATTGTCAGACCAAACTCTGTACATATCCCATTAAATACATCCAAGATCACTATACCCACTGACAATGACTTATAGCATAACTTAACAAACATAATCAATGACAGTATTATAATGACATAATACAACGCACGCAGCCACAACACGCAACATAATATAACAGTTTTTACATTGTAGGGGTATACCAAGGTTGATGGCCACCAACAGGCTCCAACCTACCAAATCCAACCAAGTGAATATTGGTACCGAACTTCCAAGCTCCCAGCTACCATTCCTAGCTACCACCAATATTTCTACATCCCCCGCCAAAACTAGCTGAGAACAAAAGTGACAAACCCACTCAAAAACCCATAAAAAAGGGAGGGAGGTAAGTCAGGATTAAACAAGTAACAAGTAAGTCAGGATTAAAATGGCCCCTACCCTAAAATGTCTGTTTTTAATATCCCTATGGGCCCCACCCCTCACCCTATCCAAACTAATTATACCTTGTCCTCCGTGTATGCCTGCTTCCTAGCTATGTCAGCGCCCATTCCACTTAAGAGGAGATGATTGTTTGACTCTGCTGATGATGATGAATATTTATTGTGCACGGAGGAAGTTCATGTCAGCTAAAAAACAGGAACCTTAAATAATGTTAAGAAAAACACATCCTTTAATGTAGACATTTAAAGTGTTTCTGACATTGTTTTGCTTTTCGAAGAATTTTTATGAGTAATTCATAAACACTGGGTTGAAAATGTAAAGAATAATTAAATGTTTTTATTCCAGGTGAGCAAGGCACCCCTCTCCATTTGAACGGACTTCTAAGTCAAGCCATTAATTTGACAAGCGATTTGAATGTGACTCAACCTGTAAGAGACTCCTTCTGGTATTTTACACCAAGTGGAAGAAGGAAAAAGAGAATCTGTGAATTTAGGAATGATAAGACTCATCATTGTGATAAGTGGAATGACCCCAGGGAGCGCTTTGAATTATATA